TATGGGCTGAGAGGTTAAGTGTAAGACCATTGAGGATAATACCTGATGGGCTAATCTTGCATCTGCCCACAGTCCCTGGGTTTTTATAAGGTGACTTGGCCTAGGGACCACTTAGTGTAAGTGTTGGGCCCATCAGGAGTCCATGTGATGGGATTCAGGGGGATCGCTGTCTTTTCAGTGAATTTGGCCAGGCCTTGTAACAGAGGCTGGGCCGAACCCATGTGGCTGATGTGTAGATCAATGTTTGGGTCCCACGCCATACAAAGAAGCCCAACTGGGTAGCAGGTTGAAAGCAGTTTGAGCACTTAGACTTATTGGGCCTAAAGCCCATTTCGAACTAGCCTAGTTTGACTAGTTAAATAAGGGGGCGGATCTGGGATTAAATCAGCAGATAGGATAGGGCCTTACCCTATCCACTCAAAGAGTCCAGATCTGGATTCAGATCTGGATTCAGATCTGGAAACCTCCTAATGAGATTAGGAGAGAGCTTATCTAATCTGCAGATGAGATAAGGGCTTATCCTTATCTCTTAAAGAGAACTCCTTATCCAAATACAGATTTGGATTAGGAAACTCCTAATGAGATTAGGAGCTCTCTTTAAGGCTATAAAAGGAGGGGGCGAACCATTCAATTCATCCTCAACATCCCAAGCATCCCAAATTCCAGAGATCAGATCCCAGTTTACACAGAGAGAAGACAGCACTAGTGTGACTGCGCCATCTTCTCCCTGCGTTCTCCTCCAGTTGCCGCCACACTGCCAGTTCGATCTCCATTGTAGGAGCAATCAAGAGGTGTCTTGATATCAATCTTTGCAGAAAGGCTGATCAGAAGTCGTGCTCACTGCCTCCATCGAATTCTTGCTGAAGAATTCGGTTCGTTGGATGGACCCTGCTGATTCTGCTCCACCATTCACTGTGTCATCTTCAGTGGGAGTAGTCTTTGGAGTCTTTCTTTGGGCGTGAACACCTTCGTTGGGAGATATTGCATCTTCGTATCAGGTATATCCCTCTCCTACTGTTTTGGTTCAAATCTAGTTCGACTCTTGGTTCAAGATTGATCCTTGAAAAATGCTGTTTTTCTAAAACAAGGAATGTGATTCCCAGATGGGAGAGAGAAAATTTTTGAAATTTCGCCCTACCTTCCTGCAGGGTTCGGCGATCCATATGATGGATCTCTCATCCCTTCAAGTGATATACCCAAAAACAAAAGTTATTGGCCCCTTCATGTTAAAAGATTAGTTTTTTTTCCCCCAAAAGCAAGCTACATGATAATATCTCAACTACACTAATTATGTTCAATAAAGGCATACAGGCTTATTACTTTAAGTTCCAATTTTTTATCTCTTAAGTATAGAAAGATGTAGAGGTAAAGAGAACATGATATACTTGACATAGGTAGGCCTGGGTTGGCAATTTGTTAATATTTGAATGAGCTTGGCCCAAAAGCTCAGGCCAAATGCAGTGTGTATTCTTCAAATTGGGTACCCAACTTGCACTCTTATTCACAATTTCCATCAAATCCCTATCAAATTCTATCCTTCCCATGTTCTTATATTCTTTATGTATTCTTGGGAGAGATCTTAAAGTATCTTCAACAATTTTGCCATTTCACTCTTTCCATATACCATAAATTAGCCACTCTCTACAAAACTTGGCCCCTTGATTCAGAAGGAATTTAAATCCATTCACAAAAGTTTTCATTAGCCTCTGTTTGTTTGCAGCATAAATCCAAACCAGATGCAAAATTTGAACCTGGTTCAGATTTGTATGCATTTATATGTAACTATGATTTGCACCACTACCTCATGAAAATTTTGAACTTTTTGTCCCTGTAAAATTGGTATTACAGAGGCACTAAACAGCAAGAAACAGTGCTGAAAAGAGAAAGAAAGAAAGAGAGAGAGAAGAGAAAGAGAATAGAAGAGAAGAGAGAAGAGAGGAGAGAACCACCGAACTGTTTTGAGAGAGATTAGAATTTCTTAATCTTCTCTTAGCAGTCGGCCCAGCTTTATATTAACTTTAGATAATGGATAGAATTACAAGTATGCCCTTCTTTACAAAAAAAACAGTGGATTGGAGTGTCCTTATTCTAAGACAGAATTATTTAACTACCGTGCTGCACATGTACACCCAAAATAATATTCTTTCAACACTCCCCCCTCAAGCAGGTGTGTATAATATCATATAGACCCAGCTTCTTAGTGATAAAGTCAATACAAAGACGACAAAGGGACTTGGTCCATAAATCAGCTAACTGGTCTCCTGTCTTCACAAATGGTGTGCCAATATCACTACTCTGAATCTTCTACAAAGTGGCAGTCTACCTCAATATGTTTCGTTTTCTCATGGAAAATAGGATTGGATGCAATATAAATGGCAGCCTAATTATCGCAATGTAAGTGCATAGGAGTCTTCACTGGAATTCCAATTTCTTGAAGAAGGTTCTTAAGCCACACTAACTCTCCTGTTGCATGACTCATGGCTCTATACTCAGCTTTTGCACTTGATTTAGCCCCAATATTCTGTTTCTTGCTCTTCCAAGTATACAATACCTTGTAATTGACCTCCTATCTATTGGTAATCCAACTCAATCAACACCTATGAACCCAGACATAATCAAATGGCCATAATCCCTATAAATAATCCCCATATCTGGTGATCCCTTATGATACTTTATGATTCTGTACACAACTTCAAGATGTGGAACATGTGGAGATCTCACAAATTAACTCACAAACCCCACAGTAAAACAGATATCTAGATGGGTGGTAGTCAAGTAATGCAGCTTCCCTACAAGTCTCGTGTATTGCCCAGGATCATCTACTAACTCCCCATGACCTAAAATAAGTTTAATAGTGGGATCCATGGGTGTAACAACTGGTTTACACCCCATCATACCTATCTCCTCAAGTAGATCAAACATATACTTATGTTGCCAAAATCTTTAGCATGAAATCTCTCTTGTAAAAAGTGTTTCAATTCATTGATGCCTTGTTAATCACTCCGTGTGATGACAATATAATCTACATAGACAACAAGAATAATGATTCCCTCATTAGAAGTCCTGTTGAACACAAAATAGTTAAACTGACATCTATGTAAGCCAAATTCCACAACCAACCACTTCACTTAACTTGCCAAACCAAGCACGTGGTGATTGTTCCAGACCATACAACACCTTCTTTAATCTACAAACCATACCCTTATACTCCCCCTGAGCAACAAACCCAGGTGGCCGCTCCATGTACACTTCTTCCATAAGGTCACCATACAGGAATTCATTCTTAACATCTAATAGATACAAGGGCCAATGAATAGTTGTGGCTAAGGAGATAACAACAGGAATAGAGGTAATCTCTACCAGAGAAAATGTCTCACCAAAATCTACACCATAAGTCTAAGTAAACCCTTTTGCAACCAAACAAGCTTTAAGTCTACCCACCATACCATCAAAGTTAAACATCACAGCATACACCCATCTATATCTAGTAGGTTGCTTACTAGAAGGGAGAGGAACTAAATCCCATGTGTCACTTTGATAAAGTGCCAACATTTCTTCTTCCATAGTTGTCCCCCACTCAAGATCAAACAAGGCTTCTTGTAGGGATTTAGGAGATTGCAGAAAGGGAAGTAACAAAAGCAAAGGCAGAAAGTGATAATGACTGATAAAAGACAAAGTAACTAATAAGATGAGAAGTACATGAGCTTACCTTTGCAAAGGGCAATGGGTAGGTCAAGGTCTAAAGGAGGCTGCAAAACAGGAGTAATAAGTTGTTGTAGAAGGGTCAATGGGACCTACAGATGGCAAGGCAAATGATGTTGAAGCTGGAGCTGACTGTAGATACACCCGTTGAATAGGTGGCCTAGGTAGAATAGTACTAGTGGGTTGTGGAGAAAAGTCCAAAAAGGAGATAGGAAGAGGAAGAGCATCACTCGAAGGAAATGGAGGGGGATCACTAAAAAATCTAGAGTGGACTCGAGAAAGGTAACATCAACACTAACAAAGTGATGATGGAGGAAGGACTATAACATTCGTACCCTTTCAAAGTTTTGAAAATCCCAAGAATACACACTTCACTGCACGGGGCTCAAGTTTGT